CTTGAACTTTCAACTTCCTAACAACTTCCCAATCCTGAGATGAAGTATTTTAAGGGAGATTCGGGTTAATGTCAGGGTTCCAAATAGCATCCAAAATTAAATCAGAGTCCAAGGCAAAGTATTGCTCAAAGTTCCAATTTATTAAGAGAGCCATGTTGGCACATCTGGGAAAACCCAAATCTAAGGCTTCCTGGTTTGCCTCACTCAGTTGAAAGTTCAAGATCTTGCCCCCACACCCACAAGTCCTTCACATGGTCCAATCTTGCACTGCCATGCTGGCAGTTCCACCCATCCAGTTCCGGTCAAGTGCAGAGGTGTAGAGATAAAGGATGACTTTGGATTCTAGAAAGGAATTTTATTTGGCTACATAGCATTCAACTTTGTACCACCCCCCCTCCCATTTCCCCACAATAGAAATGACATAGCAGAGTAATAGAAAGTGTGGCAGGCCAAAGCTCCAAAGAGGAATATGGCTGCAGGCCTGACACAGGGCTGACTACAAGGCAATAATAACCAAGACAATAATAACATTAATTAATGGTTAAAGTTAACACTTTGTGAATTTAACCCTGATTACCTTGATTGACAATATATTGTCACTATATATTGGAAGTTAAAGATATTGGAAGCAAAGGAGAGGCTGCCATGCTATTGATGGTCTTCTCAATTGCTATTGGCCTTAAGGCTAAAAAAGGCACATCTCAGATAAAGGATCCAGAATATGGAAAGCCCAATTAGGGAACCAATTAGCCAGCTTGATGTCTTGATCAGCTTGATATATTTACATATTACAGATATATTTTTGTACTACTGTGCTTCATACAATCTTATTCCAAGAAATCCTAGATTTAAAAGATTCCTTATGCTAACAGAATCTGTTACAGAGTCTGCATAGCTAAATTACTGATTTATGCTATGTTGTACTATGTTTTTAGAGAGCTTCTTTGAAACGTTATGTCCTTTTCCTACTTATAGCTCAATGAATTAGGGAGATGTCTGTCTCAGCTCTTTCCAAATATTATCTGGCTGTTGTGGACTTAAAATATGTTTTGCCTCTTGTCATTTCAGCAACACAGCTGGCATATTTCCATTCACATCATATTCCTTACTCTCTGCAGGGTTTCTTAATGCTTTTTGTTGTAGTTGATTTTTCTTCATTTGCTGTTGTTTTTAACTTGTATTTATTATACTGCTGTGTGCCTTCTACTGCAATTGAAGCTTCATATAAATGGAATTAAATAATAAACATAATCAAACTAATGTTGAATAAATCCACATTTTCCATGTAATTTTGTAGAGTTCATCTTCAATTAACAACCATTTATCCTTGATTATGTTAGCCAGTAATCTTAATATTTTACTATACTTTTGCGTTAGAAATTATAAATGTCAATAATTTAATAGCCATTTTTAGTAGTTTATGCACTCTCCTCCTCCGTAGCTTTGTGTGTGTGTGTGTGTGTGTGTGTATGTATGTATGTATGTATGTAAATATATATATTTACATTGACCACAATAAAGACATTTTTTAAAAAATGCTCCAGGAACCAGGGAAATCCTTTCTCAAGATCACTGTATCTGCAAAAGAAAAAACAGCTGAAAATTCACATTGATATTATAAGTCCAAAAGTATGCTGGTTTTTTTTTTCAAAAGAGGCTACCTAATATAAGCAGTTCAATGTAAAAAAAACCAGACAGCTGGACAACTGAGCAGATTTGTTGTGAAAAATTCTTTTTTTATAAATATATTTTACAAATCATTTCTCACAAAAGAATATTCTGAAGTCCAAACAGAATGGTACAGATGCAGCTCTTTGATTTTCATATGAGGATACCTTGTTGATGGCAGTTCCAAAAACCTCTGAGCCTGCAAGTGGCGCACAAAACTGTTGACATTATTATTAAATGTCTGGAATTTAGCTTGGGCTGATGAAGATTTCCAACTGTTGCAGTCTGAGGCAGGGGTTATAATACATTTTACTTTCACACACACACACACACACACACACACACACACACACACGTATGTATGTATGTATGTATGTATGTATGTATGTATGTTATATTTGTGCTGATAAATAAATAAAGGGAGACTAGTATAGATCTATTTCAAGCTATTTAGCTCTCATCAGCTAGCAAGGGTATGGCTAGCTGATGAGAGCTAAATAGCTTGAAATA